AGGAGGATTGGCCTGGATGTCAGCTCAGGGCTGATCTTCTTCACACACACACACACAAAAAAAGACAAGAATGCTCACTCTCATTACTACTATTTTATTTATGCTGGGATACTAGGTAATTCAATTAGAAAAGAGGAAAAAAATAGCAGTACAAAAATTAGAAAGGAAATGGTAAAATGATCACTGTTTGCAGATGATGTGGTTGTATACCTGAAAAAATCTACAGCAGGCTATACAATATGGTAGCCACTAGCCACATGTGATTATTGAGCATGTGAAATGTGCCTAGTGTAACTTAAGAACAAAAACTTTAATTAATTTTTTTTTTTGCAAGGAAGATCTAGAGAATCGACCAAAAACAATACAGACACAAAATTAATACACAGCAATCAACAGCTTTCATACATACAGAATAACAACCAGATAGAAGATATAAAGGAAGAGAAAACCTATTTACAACAGTAACAAAAAAAGATAAAACACTTAAGAATAAATCTGTCAAAAAATTTGAGAGACATATGAAGGAAACGTTAAAAACACAAAAACAAAGCTTGAACCTACTATGCTCTTGGTTAGGAAATTCCACAGCATAAGATATAATTTCTCCCTAAGTTGATTCATAAATTTAACATGATCCCATTAAAAATACTAAGAAGTTTTATAGTCGAACTAGACAAGCTGATCCTAAATTTCATATAAAGAATAAAGAATACCCTGGAAAAGCCCAGAAAAAGAAAAGCAATGGGTAGTAGAATACATTATAATACATTACAAGAAAAGTTGACATCTTAAACTGGTGAGGCAAAGATGAGCTGTCTAGATGAACTATCTAACAAGCCTCGTAGGGACAACTGGATACCCATCTGGAAAGAACAAAGTCAGATCCATATCTCATTCTATATATACATTCCAAATGGATCAAAGACTTAAATATGAAAAATAAAACATGGCAAGTTCTAGAAGAAACCACGGGAGAAATTCCTTATAACTTTGGAATGGAGAATGTGTTTCTAATTATGATTCAAAACATAGTGATTCAAAACACTATAAAAGGAAAACCGATATGGGCCGGTCCCGTGGCTTGGCGGTTGGGTGCGCACGCTCCACTGCTGGCGGCCCAGGTTCGGGCCCCGGGCGCGCACCGACACACCGCTTCTCCAGCCATGCTGGGGCCGCGTCCCACGTACATCAACTGGAAGGATGTGCAGCTGTGACATTCAGCTATCTACTGGGGCTTTGGGGGGAAAAAATAAATAAAAAAAAAGGAAAACCGATAAATAAATCTTTCTGAATGGCTCCAAACACAAGCAAAGTCAAAAGCGAATGAGGAACTGGGAAAAATATTTGTAATTCATATCAGGCAAAGGACTGTCTTGCTAATATATGAAGAACTCCTGGGGACCAGCCCCGTGGCATAGCGGTTAAGTGCGCGTGCTCTGCTGCTGGCAGCCCGCAGTTCGGATCCTGGGCATGGACTGACGCACTGCTTGTCAAGCCATGCTGTGGCAGCATTCCATATAAAGTGGAGGAAGATAGGCACAGATGTTAGCCCAGGGCCAGTCTTCCTTAGCAAAAAGAGGAGGATTGGCATGGATGTTAGCTCAGGGCTGATCTTCCTCACAAAAAAA